AAAAAAAAAAAAGTTCAGCCTTAAGAGACAGGAAGAACACCACCGCTGCTCTCCTCCTGCTGATTACTTGTGATACTTGTTCTATGATTATCCGCAGTCGAAGAGGAAGGCTGCGGCTCGTTATCCTTCACACTGACGCTCTGTTTAGTGTTGAAAGTGAAGGCTACGCTGTTCGCTCTTCGACGTGTCCGCCGCAATTTCGTCACGGTCGCAGCGTGCTCGATGAAAGGGTTTCTGCTTCTATTGTGCCTTCTTGTCCTCCTTAAGCCGAATGGAACGAACTTATCTCAATCTTTGTAACGTGCGTCTGTTTTTATACTCGATCCGTGGTGGTCGTTGGCAGCCGGATCTCCCAGTCACAATGGCGCCAAGCTGCTCCCTCTTTTCGCCAGCCTGATCTCTAACCATCCGTAAGGAAGCACTGAAAGTATCAGCACGCCGGAGAGACCGAGTACTCGGAACCGCGTGCACACCAGCCCGTGCAAGCCGAGAGTAAGGGCAAGGCCAAGCCACTTCCAGAACAGGGACGTTGATAATGGCCCTTGCCAAGAGTTTGGATACAAACCCAGTACCAGTGCTGGAAATTGAACAAGACGACGTTGATGCTCACGTTGATATTCCACGTGAAATGGCACACAAGCCTGTCTCTAGACTTATCATTGACACTGTGTGCCTCAGAATCCTGAGAGTATACAGGAATAGACTTCTAGCATTAGCCGACATCTTAAAACACATGTTCCAACATTTTGGCATGGCAAGGAAAACTGAAGAATCAATGTGTGATTCAAGGAGGCAAGTTGACTCTGATGTTCAGGTTTCATGAAAGTAGATGTATGCATCGCAGCATGTTTCAACTTTTCAAACTCTCAGGATTCTGTGACACACAGTCTAGAGACAGGCTTGTCTTTGGTGGCGTCAAGACGTAACCTACTATATATCAGAGTTTCCCAAATAGAGTTGCAAACTCCCCAGGCGGCCGATATAACGTGGAAAAGTGCTGGATCGTCGCCGGATGGTCTCCAGGTAGTGAGGACCAGCAGTAAACATGCGTGGAATACAAATCCTACAACTGATGTTGATACATTATATTACATTGTAGGAACAACATTTTATTTACAATTTTATGTACAATCCTTGCTCACCTACTACGAAGTATCTTTTAATGTGCCTTAGTAACATTGACAGAGTGACACCGGCGAGGGCTTGTAAAGAGGCTAGGGCTAAAAAACTGATGGTCACCGTTTTGGCTCCCCCCAGGGTGCAGACCACGTATGCCTGTTAAAGAAGATGAAACGTTTACACTGAACATCATAAGTACATTCTGATGTACGGAGGAGGGACTCACTTCTATAAAATCGGCATAGATGAAACCCTGTTCGAGTCCGATGAAGAGGGTGAGTGGCGCGGCGAGCTGTAGCTTAGGATCTAGAAACGCAGCTTTCACAGACTGCAGGATATTTTGCATGCTGTGCCTTTCGTTTACAGTCTGCGGTTCCTTCATCCTAGAGTCGAGGAAAGCGCACGATATACTTAAGCCTAAGACAGCAAGACCTAGCCATATGCTGACCAATATTTTCGATGCACCAGACGGCAACGTAGGCTCATAAATCGTGCCATTGTATTGATAGGTCTCCTCTGGACAGTACTCCGCTCCGCACATGTCGTTCTCGCTGCTAGCTATATTCAGAGGCTGCGAGTCTGTTAGCTTTACAAGTATGGCAGCGATCAAGCAACCTAGAAAGAAGAAAAGGTACGCAAAAGTTACGCACTCGTCTACATGTTCACGG